TTATGCGACACAATTTTTGTCATTTGGTTGTGTATGGTACTTACCCATATTTATTGGTTATACGGGAGTAGGAGATGTTTCATATACTCCAAATGCATGATAGAGACGTGAGAGTGGGTTTACTTTATTTCGTTTTGTGCTATAAATTTTAGAAACAATGTAAATGGGTTTACTTTATTTCGTTTTTATTTTATTATTGCGGTATATATAAGGATTTCCGCCAGTGGTATTTATGATTTAAAATTTTAATGGGAATTACATAATACATAATACAATTGGGATGTTACATAATACAATTCACTTCCAAGCTCAAATACAATTTTTACATGTTTCATTAATTGTTTATAATTTTCATTACTAACTTTCTGTATTTTGCTTTTATTTATTTTGGAATCCATGTACTCAATTATATAACCATTCTTAGTTCTGGTGAATTAAAAGATCAATTACCAGTTCTTCATACCTTTTTCTTCTACTGTTGGCCGATTTTGTGTTAAAATGAGATTAATTTTACTTACGTTTAGCTAGAAAGGCCTAGAACCCCGCAAAAGAAGGCAAGTGACAACTGCAATTTGTGCTAATTGATTTCATGCTTTCTATGAAAAGCTTGCTGGACCTGAAAGGGAGAGAGAACTATCAGATACAGATGTCCAATCAGCAGTATGGGAGGTCTGTGGTGATACTGGAGCTTTACAATTGCTTGTTGATCTTCTTCGTGTGAAGTAAGTTCCAGGAATTACATAGCCATAACTACTGATAGGATTATGTTAACTATAAACAAAATGAATTTCCCTACTCCTTAATCTGCATGCCTGTTATTGCCAACTTGGTTCTGCAAATTGATGCTTTAATCTCTTTTAATTCATCATTTCATTTTGAGTGAATAAGGACACTACAACATCAACATTGATGATGTTATGTGCCATGCCTAACTGATTTCAATGCATTCAAGGATGATGAATCTTGAAGAGAGTTCCGGAACAGATGAAGATGACCTTGATTTACTCAGGAAAGCCCTTATTATTGATGACCAGGAAGA